TAACTGTAGGTCGCTATCGATGGACGAACACATCAACCATCTTCTCCAGGAGATCAATAGAACATCTTGCGATGTTCTCGGCGTTTGTGCGAGACACAAAGAAAATCAGAACTCAACGCTACCTGGAGGGATGGCAACACGGTTCTTTTGATCAAAGGAGAAAAACAGAGGAGCATAGGCGGAATCGGGTTTATCGTGAACAAGAAGTGGTCTCCACGAATCCTTTCCTACCGCTTTAGTTCATCGCGAGTCGGTGTACTCATCCTATGGCTGAATCTAAACAAGACCCTCAAAATCGTTCAAGTCTATGCCCCTACCACGGCCAGTGATGAGGACGAAGTTGAAGAATTCTATGCGGAGCTCGAATCAGCTCTTACCATCAAGTCAACCTATACGATGGTGATGGGCGAATTTAATGCAAAACTCGGTCGAGGAGGAAAAATTGGAGAGAAACACATTGACAAGTTCGGTATAGGAGAGCAAAACATCAGCGGCAACAGAACGGCGGCGATGGCAGTGGCCAACAAAATGTTCGTAGGCAACACCTGGTTCCGAAAGAAACTGAAACGGAGATAGACATGGATTACACCAAATGCAGTTGCCAAAAACGAAGTCGACTATATTTTGGTTGATACACAGCGCACTTTGAAGGATGTCTCCGTAGTACCCTCGTTCAACAGAGGAAGCGATCACTGCATGTTGCGGGCAAGAATATACATAATCCCGTCGGTCGAACGAAGAGCACTGTATGTGTCGCATCGGCGTAAAAGACCCACGGAGATAGACGAAGCAGAAGTGGAAAGACAAGTCAGAACTACGGACTGGACCATGTCGGCGAGCATTGAAAAAGACTATCAAAATTACACTGAGAAGCTTCTCCGGTGCTCAGAAAGACTCGAACACGCTAAGCCTCGACGACTAGATTCGAGAATATTAGAGGGGACAAAAGAACTACTAAAAACGAGAAGAACCATGAAACGGGATAAAATCAGGAATGTAGAATACAATATTCTCTACAAGCTAATTCGTAAGAAGGTGAAGGAGGACCTCGAAGACTACAGTCGCCGAAGGCAAATCACAGCGGTTCAAGGAAAACAAAGCCTGAAGAAATACAAAAGGGAAGCGCTGTTATACCATCAAACAGAAGCGGCGCTGAAAACTGAAGATGGACGTCGAATCAC